TGATTGTTGTCAAAATGGTTGTGAGGTATATTACTATTTGAAGTATGTTAACGATACGAAAAGGCGGACGATACGGGTCGAGCGGGAGACGCGGCGCGATCCTGACGAGCTTGTGGACGGGGAGGAGAGAGAGAGAGGGATTCCGACGTTCGCGATCGGAAGCGTCTCCCTCGGGAAGGATCCCTTTCCCTCTGGCAAAGGGAGCCGGAACGGGAGGCACGCGAAAATCCTTCCCATTCGAAGTCGCTTTCGCGCCGCCTCGCCCGCGAGAGCCCGGCACGGGGAGACGAGCTGGAAAACGTGCGCTCACCCGATCTCGGGATTCCGTCGAGAGGCGAAATTAGTGGTAAATGCGAGCGTGTAGGGTGTACGCGACGCCGCGATGTAAATTTGCTTTGACGTTGTTGATCGTTGCGTGTGAGTTCGTTACTAGTCCGTGAACGCGGCACGATTGCTTTATAATTCCGCAACTGTAATTGATACGGTTGCGTCGGAAACCGGCCCGAGTCGATTTCATTCCGACCAACCGTTGAGTTCTCCAATTTTATTTGGCGAAATGAAAGAAGCCGCAATCATCATTGTTCGCGCGATTAAACGCGAATTAGACAATACGAAAAAACAATCGCTCGTATCTTCTTGGAAAGATCGTAACCGAAGCTAGTTCTTCATTCCTTTTCATTTACCTTCCTTCGCATCAAAGGCGGCTCTTAATTAATAATGTCACATGGTGCTTCTAGAATCCGCAATCAAATTCAAATTTCGTAAGCTAACTCCTTGCACTTTCGTTTTAACGATAATAATATCCGTGAATTGGACAGAATTTTATTAATATTTTAGTAAAACGTATACGCCGCAATATTCATGTTAATATTGTTTAGATTTAGCGTATAAATTTTTTTTACATGTGGAAAATTATGCGTATGAGAAATTTGCGATTGCAAGAGACAAGAAAAAACAAATTGAAAAGTGCGAGCGACAAAGGCCAATGGGAAAAATGCGTTCTCGCGCAGCGCGCGATTTCCTGTAAATTGTTATTGTTAATTATTATCACTTGTCGTGTGATTAAGACGAATTAGAACGCCAAAGGGGGCCGAGCGCCTGATTCTAGCGAATTATTCCGCGAGCGCACGTTTTCCTTGCGTAAAGACGAGCGTGACGTACCGTTTCGTCTCCGAAAAAAGAAGCGTACAACTGGCATTACATTATACGCGGAGTCTGGTCCGAGTGCGTGGCGCCGGCGACGGGGAATCGATGGCAAGGAGTCGCCGGCGAGCCATCCCGCGTTCCCTCGGAGGCCGTTCCGAGGGAACGCGAACGTTTCGCCTCGTCCAGGCTCGGCGGAAGAAACATGAGACTGATATAAACCAGTATTCGTGCGAGAAATTGCGAGAAATTGCGCGGCGTAGCCTTAATAAGAAAGATTAATTAGGTTTATTCGGCGACGGCGATGGCGTCGGTCGCCGCGAAAAAAAAAATCATATTTAATTGGCTGTACAAGCGGAAAAGGGGATAAGTAGGAAAAGAAAAAAAAAAAGAAATACCTCTCGTCGAGGGTTGACACGTCAAGGAGAATCGAGACGGACGTTGTTAGCCCTCGCACGGCGATGTATCTAGTGAGAGTATAATGTTATTAGGTAAACTTAAGCGTACTTTAAAAGCGAAGTGCGGAAGGAGAACGGAATGCCAGTTGTAAAACGGGATAGGTCGGGGGTGGGGCGGAAGGGGAGGGGGTGATAAGAGGCGAGAAGAACGTGTTCCGATGACGCGAGACTTGTCTCCAGTGATAGCAAAAGGGATATTCGCGGGTGGGGAAGGTGGGGGCGAGAAGAAAGACACGGGAGAAACGGCAGCGGGACCCGGGGCGGGAGGATAGGGAGGCGAAACGCTGGGTGTAATAACGGGCACGGGACACGAGAAAAGCGATATGTATGCATATAATCGCAATATAAATATACATATATATACACATATATATTTCTATATCGTGCATGTGTGTATATATGTATACGTATATGTGTATATATTTTATTAAATGGCGTGAACGCGTATTTAACTTTCGGTACGGGATTTTCGTCCTTTCATTTTTTTCCCCCCCTCCCCCTTTTACGTTGTTTGTTTTTTCGTTTGTCATTCTTCGCGGTACCGTTTTTCGGGGACACCCTGTCAAGCGCGTTCCGCGAGATACGATTCGAGTGTACACACTCGCACACACGCAATGCTGTTCATGTGTATACGCGATAGACTATTTCGGAATACGGATGCGGGGGACAAAAGGGAAATAGAGAAACGACAGCTTTATACCGATAGCGGGACAGTAGTTATTTGCAACACGTGCACACACACGTATAACACATACGCATACACATGTAAAGCGATCCAAGCGATACACACAAAAAAAATTGTATGAATATAACGTTTGCAGTTAGGTGGGACCAAAAACGACTTTATATCTCTATGTGCATATCCAAGCAACGTGTAATTTAATTAATGAATTAATTAATTATCCATTATTAATGACTAGGTAAAGTAAAAGATCCATTGATAGCAATCGAGAACGATGACGAATGATTAACGAGTAATTAGCCTATTAAGTTTGTTTATTGATACATTATTCTATGATATAATTATTATTATTAACTTTATTGCCTTTATTATTATTATTTTATTATTACATTGATTAAAATGACGATGATAATATTATTTAAACAATGTTTTAAGGCGATTATCTAGATATCGAGTAGAGAACACAGTACGTATCTATAATTATTAATTATTTTTAATTATTATTATATTCTTATTATTATTATATTATTATTATGAGACATTTTGTTGTATTATTTTCAATAAAATCGATTGAAAAATATATTCAGTTTGCCAATTGGTTAATTCTCGCTTCTCCGCATGTATCGTGCAACCGCATGTTCACAATTTCCTTCTCGTCTCTTTGTATTTGCGGCAATGCAATTACGTTTAAATCTGATACCAAGGTCAAAAGTAATTTCTAAGTGAGCAAGATAACGAGAGAAATTGAAACATCTCATTGTCCGTACACACGGGGAAGCGCGCCTTATCCCAAAGTCTGTTGCGATCTCAAAAGAGCATTGTTTGCGATTGCGAGAGTTTTCTAAAATTAATCGAGATTTCTGAATGCATTGACGGGGACAAAGTGTTGCTGCAATTTTTAGTTCACTATTTATATCTTCTTTATGAAAACTAAGGTGCCCTTAATGTGTTCTCCAGAGAGTACTTGACTACATAGAAAAACATAAGTGACTGAAGAAACATAATATTAATATAATATCTGTAACAATTAACAGCAGAACATAAGATCTTCTCTGATGTAACCATTGACGAATCGCTTAGAAACAGTTGCAAATTAAGAGATACACAAATTGTACGTTTTAATTAAAAACACTATTTTCATCTAACAGTGATTAAGATTCTTTTCAAGTATCTTTCAAACTTGTATGCGTGTGTCCGTTCTTTAGATTACGTCGAGAAATACCTTGCAATATTCTACAGAAGTGGAATGCCGCAAGATCTCTTAGAAAACTTGACGCGTAGCGAACGAAGTCATGATATTTGCGATCGTAACTGCCACCCCATCCATGTATGTACATATATACTTACTTTCCCTCATTTTACTTTAATTCAGTGTTAATTAATTCCATTAACCGCGTCTGTATACGATTATCTCTCCGCTACCCTCCGACCACCCAATCCTTCAAATCCCTCCTCTTCGTACCTCTCTATCCCTCTTACTCTCACGCGTCTCCGGATAATTTTCGTGACTCGGAAAGAGCGGGGGGAAGACGGAATAAGTTAAAAGTGAAAGAAACGGGGAATGCGAGGTAAAACGGGGGTAGAATAATCTAACAAAGAGAAAGTCAGAGAGCGTATTATTACGGGACAAAAAGAAATAGGAGAACCAAATGATGGAGGAGAAGAAGAAGCCACGGAACAATAGACAAATGATAAAAAAAAATAGTTGTAAAAGCCACAAACGTAATAAAAAAACGCGTACACATACACACACACATGTACACACGAGAAGAAAACACAAATGTACTAAGTAAGTTCATACTGCGTATTGCCTTTCTGACTTCGGTGTGAAAATATATAAATAAAAAAAGTCAGTCGCGCCGGGGCACGCGTATGTTCGCGCATACATATTATATATTATAGTTATTAGCGTTCGACGAGAGAGACGAGGACTAGCTGCTTCCGCTTCTTCCTGCCAGCCTACATTGTACCTCCCTCCTTCCCTTACATTCGCTTCTGCAATTTGAGCCTTTCACTGAGAACTCTTCAACGGGTAAAAAAAAACACACACTTTACAAGAGAAGATCGGCGACTTCCGGCTTTGTGTCCGATCGAAGTTGCGTCACTTTTCCTTCCTCTTATTTTACGAGTTCTCTTAAGATTTGTATTAAAAAGACAACTCACTGTGTTTCTTCGGTTGATCAATTCCGCTTGTTCGTCCCGAGGCAGGCGGACGCGGAAGCAGCGGACGGCAGTATCCGTCGCGAAAACTTTTTTCACGGTTCCGTAAGAAAAAGTCCCACGCCGAAGTCCGCGCGTCCCCGCCGACTGTGTCTGTTTCATGTTTTTCAATATTTGTAATTTATCGATAAAATTATAAAAGGTATCGATACATAACAGTCTAAAGTGTGCGCTACTCTACATAATAATATTATATATAAAAAGTATAAAAGTATACATTATATATATATTATATATATACATATATATTATATATGAAAAGTATAATATATATATATTATACATACATTGGGATTGGTGAGAATATACGGTTTTTTCGCTTTGGAGTGTTATTTTCTGAAAATATTGAACAAAATATGGAAAAAAAATTAATAAAACCAATGAGTAAAAACAAAACAAATGTGATTTTTTTGTTCTCACCCGATGTACGACACGTCGTCAGCGACAGGCAATTCTCTGTTGGAATTTGCGATTGCATTCATATCGCGTGAGTGCACAAGTGTGAATATCTGATGCAAATAACTTTATATGACGCGTAACATTTCGCTTTCAATTCGTAATATATGAAATCGTCCAACATATTAGATTCTGAAAAAGATTCAGCATTCGAAGGAGAGTGTCGAATGAATTCGTTAACAAGGATAACGAGGTTGTTTAATATACATTTAATATTTAATATTAATTCGAAATGTGTAATTTTGATGAAGTTCAATAGTATCTTGTCATTTTCCTGAATCAATACACGAGCAAATTTTAACTGCTAATTTTAATCTGTAACTAATTTGTGTGTAGTTATACATTTATTTTATACATACATATCAGACGTTTATTGATTAAATTATTAACTAAAATGTTATTACGTTGTAATGTAGTTATTATTTTGTAAAAACTTTGTGTTATGATGTTTGTTGTTGAAAGTACAGATATTCGAGAGAATTATGTATATGCGGACTCTTCCGAGCGCTTTTAACAGTCTCGTTGAGAAGACAGTAAAGATCGAAACGGAGGAACCACGATTTGTTATCGAGTCGGTAAAATATAAAAGTTATTCAAGCCACACAAAATTTGGAATTATATTAAATATTTGAAATAAATGCACTACAGATTGCTAGGTGACCTTTTGGGAGTTGAAGACTACAAGACTAATAAAGCTGCTCTTTGGTTTTTGGATATCTTAGCTCTTCAAGTTATACGTTACAAAAATTGTCTAGATGATCATTACAGAAGTATATTAATTAGCTGGTTGGTTGGAGAAATGAAATTAATTCGAGGTGATCAAATTAATGTATATTAAATAAACTTGCTATATTGTTTAACATAATGAGGATAATAAATGAGTAAAAACACATTTTTAGAGACGGAATATTTTTATAGATAAGAAGTTACTTCGGGAAGACTTTTTCAAAGAAATAAAAATATTATTTCTCCTCGTTGCTGAGAAATTATCTAATAACGATCGATTGCTGCATTGGGAGTTACTCGTGGACGCATATTCGGAAATTATGTCACAAAATTCTACCACCGATGCATCTGCAAACAGTGAAGCGGAATATTTAATTACGAATAAATTCTCTACGAAGGAATTAATTACAGAAGATGCCAAATATATGTCTCAAGAGAATAAATTTTCCTTTATCGAAAGAGATCTGACAAATCACAGCAACGGAAGGTAAATCGAAGAAAGTGTAACTTTTTATAAATTACACACTTAACATTCTTTATTATGCATGTTGTTTTCTTTTTAAATACGTTAAATAAAATTTCTTATTTTAGTGTAACAAATGATTTGCAAGAGGAGTTACCGAAAAACTTTAAAACTTTATTAACTACAGAAAATTTGCAAAAGGATATTTTCACAGATACAAACGCAATCGTCGGATCTTCTAATTTAACGAATCCTGTCGACATCCTAAATGTAATTGTTGAAGCAACATACAATATGTACGTAAAGAATATACAGATAAGAAAATGTAGCGTATTTCGAGTATTTTTTAATATTTCGAAGAAAGAAGGTACAAAGATTTTATTATCATATTTTTTAAAAACAGGTATGCTAATGAACTGCGATATGCCCTTATATATGCAGTTTTTGTAAAACCGATACAGATACAAATTTTTCATATGCCTCATGTTTTCCGAATACCACGTCAAATCAAACGGGCGGATCCTAAAGGATCGTTTGAAATGCAGCTTCGCGAACGATTGGAAAAGATTGCTAGTGAACCAATAATTAGCAATGGCAAAAAAAGTAAAGGTAAATATGGTGTGATAGAGCACTTATGAATTTAATTGTTTATACATGCTGTGTTCGATATTATGCAAAATTATTTCTATTGATATATTTATATTAAAATATAGTTTTAATATATTTTTTATTTAATTATAATCGTAATGTACTTATATTTTATTTTGTTATAATTGTGCAGTAGGTTTGTCTGCAATATATGATAATTAAAAACTAATCAATTTCAGGAGAGAAAATGACTGATGCGAGAAAGGGGCAAACAATTAAAGATTTAGATACGAAAATTCCTCGGACACCACCACCTTCGTTAATCGAGGAAGAAATGTTAGCCGGTAATCGCCAATTTATTTTACCATTGATAGAAGCGAATGAAGCGGCACAAATCTATGAAATGCATGCAGAAAACATGTAATGTAATAAATACATAAGATTGAAGGAATATTTTATTTGGTATCGCCTAACAATTTTAAGTATAGTGTATGTTATTCTGTGATTATCGCCGTACCCCATTCGCGGCATTTGAATTTTTTTACTGGTTTAGAATCTAGCGATTGAATGTCCAACTTGACAAAATTATACGAATTTTCCACGTTTCGTTGAAGTTGCCCCAGTTGGCCGTACTTGTTAGTACCACAGCCCCGAAAGATGCCGTCATCTGAAGAAGAAGACAAATGTTATGTCTCTTGTAGGAAATACAACCTTTGCAAAATTATATTGTGTCAGTAGGGGAGATTTTTTTTACCTGTTAAGCATATAGTAAAAGAATTGCCGCACTCGACCTTTTTAACATTAATTTCTATATCCTCTCCTCTGTCGTTTTTAAAATCCACTAGAGTTGGAACGGCGTAAACTTTCTTGTCCTTGCTTTCGATTCCTAATTCGCCATTTGAATTCCAGCCCCAAGTATAGAGATCACCCTGTTATTTTTACTTAATTTTATTTACACACAATGATAGATGCGATTTTGAATTATTTTTAATTAATTTCTTTACTTGATCAGTGACTACGGCGCTATGCCAACCACCTGCTGATATTTGTACTACTTTCAGCCCTGCCAAGGCCTCAATAAGTTTTGGATTATCACAATCTTCTAACTCGTTGTGTCCTAATTGACCACGTCTGCGGTGTGAATAGTAATAATCATTTCATTTATTAAACAACGTAAAGGTAATCTAAGAAAAATTTTGCATGTATGACATACATTCCCATTCCCATTGAATAAACGTCGCCATTCTCGGCCAATAAGATAGTATGGTCAAAACCGCAAGCAAGATCAACAAACTTGACTCTCTTTGGCATCTCAATCAAAAGCGGGGCGTTAAATATACGTCCTTAAGAAATAGAGAAATTTTAGAGTAAACATACATTTAACGTAAAACATAATATAATGTTTGAGCGGAGTATTTTTTTATTGCACACCTAAATTAGTTAAAATCACTGTACATCCTGCTTGTGATAGTTTGATGGCGTGTTCAGCCAGTACGTTATCATTGGTGGGAATGAAAGGTGTTACTTTTTGCCAAGAGTCGTCGTATACTTTATATTTCCAGACTACATTTCGCGTGGACAAAACAACTACGCTATCCCGACCAGGAACAGCCATTTTGCAGCTATATTAAAAAATGAAGTATTTACATAAAAAATTTATAAATAAAAAAATACTTGTAAGAAAGGAAAAAGAGATATTTTGCGTCTATTACCTTCCTGACGACTCCTCCGGAATCTGCATTAAACGTGGCCTGTTTTTGTCATCTTTCTCACTGATTTTACCCGTGATGTATAATTTTGTGTCTTGCCACAGAAGAAAATAATTCCATCCAATCTCAATGTCTGTGACTCCAGGAAATGGGATCTGAGTCAAATGCGATACTGATGTGACAATTCCATCCTCATTTGAAAAAAGTGGGCTGGCATTTAAGCCAGTATAATAGACCGGCATGTCTCTGCAAATAATAAAAATATAATATTAATATAACATCATCATTTTGTCATTAAAAATATTTCTTATTTCATTATTATTATAATAGTCTTTTATTATTGCGAAAATTCTGTTAAATTATGATTGTTTAAATTTATATAACTGACGAAGTCATAAATATTTGTCTAACTAAAATATCTAATAAATAATAAGTAATCTCATTATCAAGACATGATTAAAAAGCTAAATGCAAAGAGCAAGAAACTAAAAAGTAATTAATATATGCTCTTTATCAAAAGGAATACAAGTGTGATAAATAAATAAAATTATAGGTAAAACACTAATGCATTTATTTATCTACTGTTGTTTTACAAAAGTAATAGAAAATATTCGCACATGGTAACCGAACTGTCGTTTCTTCCAATGGTATCAGGTATATCGATTAACGTGTAACACCAGTTAGAACGTGCAGATGTCACCGTTTTCCTTGGATACCAGGAAAACAACACATTTTGATAATACGTAATGGAAATCGTCGAAATAACGCAGTAGATTGTTAACGCGTCTTCGTTCCAGTACCTGAAATATATATCAACAAGAAGATGGTAAAAAAAATGTCACGTGAATTAAATGCAAATGCACAATATTATATGCACTCTTTTTTTCCTCTCCCCACCACCGCCTGATACACTCGAATGCACGAAGTAATCGAAACATAACCTGCGAGGATTTTGTTGTAGCACACAAAATTTATATTAAGTGCTGCCTGGGAAGTCAAAAGTTGCAAAGTATATCATTAAATAAAATAAGCAATCTCTATCATCTTTTCTTGTACAAAATTCCACTTGTACTCTTTCTGTGCACTTCATACGTGTCCCTCCGCACACTCGGAATGCTATCACCGACTATAGTCTCATCGCCATAACTCGTTACGTTTCAAGTTTCAACTAGAAACAGGGAATTATATTATTAGAATTGCATACACTGATTACACGAAATTCAAAATGTTGATGTACACGAGAATGCTGTTTCTCGTGAATGCAAAATTCTTGATTGCAGCATAATACAATAAAATAATATAAATTTATATTTATATTACTATACTAAAAAATATACAAAATTGCATTATTTAGTATTGTGTATTCAAGTAAGGTTTGAAATAGAATTTCCATATTTTTACGAGAGCAAATTTTGTAATGATATGATGCAATATAATAAAGAATTGTAATCGAGGACTTTTCTTCTTTTTCTATATTAATTTAATTATCGGCATTGAGAAATAATGCATCAATTGTTAGTATTTAAGTTACAAAGCTGTTTGACACAACTTTTACACAATACTGCAATTAATTGCAAATAATTGACATGTAAATTGTCAGGGTCTGCTTGCTATTTTACGAAAATTGCGATCGAATCCTGACAAAGAGCTGCGATTGTTACTGCTGGGTCTGGATAATGCCGGAAAAACGACTATCTTGAAATCTTTGGCTAGCGAAGATATCACGCAGGTAAGCCTTTCTTCTCGATTTCCATAATGACGGTTTACTGAAAAGTGTGGTAAAAATTGACATAACTAACAAATCTTGCAACATATGTAACGAATAAACTCTGAGTTTTTTTTGTAAGGTGACTCCGACACAAGGTTTTAACATAAAAAGTGTCCAAAGCGAAGGTTTCAAATTGAACGTATGGGATATTGGTGGAGCTCGCAAAATTCGACCTTATTGGCGAAATTATTTTGAGAACACGGATGTACTCGTAAGTCCTAATTAAGTTCAAATATTGAAGTTTTAATGCAAAAATTATTAATTACATTTTGTACTTTGTTACTATTTAGAATTTCTATATAACATTTTGTGACAACAATATAAATATTGTTCAATAAAATATTTTATTGCAAAGTTTAATATAAAAAATATTATTGGAAACAAGTAATTTGTGTTGCCTTTACGCTACAGCTTTATTGTTTTAATAATAATCTGGAGCAACCATCCGCTTTTACATAGTATGTTTTGAAATGAGAATGATGTATTTTCAAATGCATTCAAATGTATTTTCAACTGCAATATTCTATAAATGTAATAATTATAACGATAATAATAACTAAAACATATAAATGAAAAGTATTTTAATGATTTCTGTAATTGTCGATGTTATTTAACAAATGTTATCAATTAATTATGATTATTCAAGAAGTCTCTATCACACTCGTACGTTTATTTACAGATAACTTTATCTTAAAATTTATGCGGATATTTTAAGCTCGTACTTTTTCCTGGATAAAAATTAAATTAAAGTTTCACGATGTTTGTTGGCAATAGATTTATGTCGTTGATAGTGCAGACATCAAAAGGCTAGAGGAAACGGGGCAGGAATTGTCAGAACTTTTACTGGAAGAAAAGTTACGTGGTGTACCGTTGTTAGTATATGCAAATAAGCAAGATCTGGGACACGCCGTGACGGCAGCCGAAATAGCGGAAGGGCTCGGCTTACACAATATCAAAGATCGTGATTGGCAAATACAATCGTGTATCGCTACTGAGGGCAAAGGCGTGAAGGTATATAACAAATATTCTTTTGTTCTTATTGTAAATTTACATTACTGTATAATTTTCATGGAATTATATGTGTATTTATTTATATTATTATTTGCAAGTTTTAAAAATGAGTTCTTTACTTTCAGGAAGGTCTAGAGTGGGCATGTAAGAATATTAAAAGGAAGTAACCAGCACACTATGCAAGTCGAGAGACACGGTCGACGTTTATGCCACATTAGGGCGCACGAAAGGAAAAGGCTTACACCATCCCCATTGTATATTTTACACATGATGTTTATTTATCTTTTAACTACTATTTACAAAAAGTTCTGGAGAACATTGTTGTCTGTGAATTCGGTATGAATGTACGAATGTCGAACGTGGGTCTTTAAAAACCCGTCGTCATATCGGACATATCCAGTTGTCGGACTTCCGTCCACTTCGGACTCGAGAAGTTCTATTTTTCGCATAAAAGAGAGTCTGTAATAGCGAGTCCATAAAATATATACTGCAAACTAACGTGCCTTCTTGTTGTCTTAATTATAGATTAGAATTTTTATAGATTTATCTAGCAAAAAGTAATAAAGTGATGGAACAAGAGGAGACACACGATATGTAATTTATACAGATACAATTATTAATACAATATTTATACTTCTACGTACATATGATATATATAGATTTGAGCACCACGTTATTGCACTCGCGAAGAAAAATCGCGGAGACGTGTTAAAGTATAATATGCAGCATGTACATGCAAAGTATCCATGACTGCACCTCTTTTTATCTAAATCAATGAATATATATTATACATAAGCAATTAAAAGGAATTGTGTCGGAA